GGGTGGATTGCGCTTGGCAAGAGAGATTTGGGAGAGGTCGGGGTCGGTGGGCGATGGGGGGGGGGGAGAGAAGGCGGGGAGATCAGAGGCGGGACGGAGGCGGATTGGGGACACGTGTGGGGACAAGGGCAGGGCATTATGAGATGTTTGGAGAGGGGGTGTTTCTACTAGGAAATAGTCGACGCGTATTGGTGGAGTTTTGGTGTTTCTGTCGCGTTGGATGGCGCGTGTGCTCGCGGCCCATGTCCCATGTGCGGGAAGCGTTGCAATGCGACGGGGGCCGACGTGGCGGAGGCAAAGCAAAACGGTGGTGCAAGGGGAGGGAGGAGCTGGGAGACAGATGTCGAAAAGAGCACTCCAACAGGGGCACTCCAACAAGAGCACTCCAACACGAGCGCTCCAAAAAGAGCACTCCAAAAAGAGCACTCACTAACGTCTGCGCGTCATGCCTCCTGGGGGACGCACACCCTGGACGTCCATGTCGCGGGCAGCACACCGTGTGCAGTAATGCGGCCATGGACCGTGCGGACGCTGTGTGTAACAACGACGTGTTCACGGGCGTTGCGCTTCCATATACTGTACTGGAACGATATATGGTTTCAAATATACAGCCTCTGCGAAGTTGGTCTTATGTGGTCTATAGATACTGTAATGTTGGGGCGGAGGGGGCGGAGAGGGCGCCGTCGGTCGGCGGGCAGCTGTTCGAGCGTGTTGTGCTGACTGCGTCGTGCATGTGCGGGGCTGAGCTGTAGAGGATGAGCTGTAGAGGATGAGCTGTAGAGGATGAGCTGTAGAGGGTGAAGTGCATGAAGCGTGTTTCGAGTAGAAACCCAAGTCGGTGTCAAAATGTCGAAGCCTTGACGGAAGGTTGCGACATTTCATGATTTGGAGGGCAGAGTTCCGACGCACATGCTGGGAAAGCGGTGGCTAAGTCGGGCAGGCGCGGGGCGAGCTGACAAAATACTGCACGCGTACATGTGTGTTGTAAACAAAGATGTACCCAAGGGTACTGTACGGCGATTTAAATCACGGTGCATCTCGCGAATGATAAAACACAAACCGGGTAGAAAGGCGTATAATATATACAGTACAGTAGTATATATCATACGCCCCCGCCTTTTCACGCACTTATGCTCTAATCTGGGTCTAATATCGAATGTAACGATAAAAATAGGTTAAAAAACAACCGCATGTGAGATGACTTGGTCATCCGGACCCCATCTACGTACTTACTGTACCTGGCCCCCGCAGCCGTGATTGGCCAACCGGCATTCCACGGCATACAGCACGCCATTGAGGCACGCGCGGCACGCGCGGTGCGGAAACGGGGTGTTGAAGCCAGCGATGCGTCGCCGTCGCGAATGACAATCTGTTTCGAATGTCCGCGGCGCGTGTCCCGCTGGATGCGGGACGCCACTGTGCGGGGGGCGCGAGCGGGAAGCGCGCCCCGCAAAATCGCCGCGCGGGGAGTGGACAATCCAAACCGGGTTGTCCTCTCCGCGCGCCATCACACCTGTCTGCCCCCTGTCTGCCCGAGCTGCCCGGTCGCGCGGCCCCGCCACCTCGCCTGCCGCGCCTTTCGAATACAATTACAGCGGGCACGGCGATTTCGCCATTAAAAACACCCCGCCGCGTGCCGCCGCGCCCCCTCATTCGCTGCAGCTTTCGATCCGCCCCGCCCGACGCGCCCCTTTTTCCTCCCGCCCCGTGTAAAACAGCACAACTTCCGAAACCGATGAATCATGATTGCTTCGCCTTTCAAAAGGACAACCCCCCCCCCCCCTTGTGAAAAGTATTCAGACCGCCTCCTAAGGATTTTGCGCTGAGCCGT